GATGACCCGTTCTTTCCACTGGAATCTCACTCGCGGAGATCTTTCATTTAGTTTTTTTTTTTTTTTTTTCCCCCCGAGTGTCTGGGCTTTCCATGCCTGAAATACTCTCATGGGCTTTTCAGCCAGATCCGAATGCCTTAAGGGCTGATTCTGAGGCCAGAGTGCTGTTTAGGACATCTGCCATTCTATGGGTCTGCTGTGTATCTCACTCCCCATGTTGGATCATTGTCTCCCTTTTTGATTCTATCAGCTAGTATTTGCAGACACTATTCTTGTTTATGTGATCCCTTTGGTTCTTAGTCCTATCATTATGATCAATTGTGAACAGAAATTGATCACTGGGACTAGTGAGATGGCATTGGTACATGCCACCTTGATGGGATTGAATTGGAATCCCCTGGTATGTTTCTAACTCTACCGTTTGAGGTAAGTCAGCTTGAGCATGTCCCGAATTGCACATCTCTTCCCTCTCTTATTCCCACTCTTATATTTAACAGTGATCACTTTTCAGTTAAGTTTCAGCACTTAAGAAGAATTGTGTATTGATTACAGTATTCAACCAAAAGTATTAAGTAGAACAAACAAAAAAAATACTAAGAGGGATAACATATCAAGTTGCTCATCAACAGTCAGGGTGAGGGCTGATCAAGTCACCGTTTCTCATAGTGCAATAACCACCTATCAACATGTGTTACAATTACAATGAAAGGTTTCGGTAAAAATAGCTATCATGGAACTTTTTATTTGTAGTTTAATAATGCCCGTTATAATGTCATTTGGTTATATGCCATTCTAAACTTAAGAAACTTGTTTATCTTGTATTTTTTAAGTATATAACTAATACTATTAAGTATTTTAAGTTTAGATTGTTAGAGACTGTCGCTCCCCCATTCGCAGAGGAACAACACTAGACCCTGCGCTGTTCTTTTGTCTGCTCGGCCCTTCCCGGGTTTGCTGCTGGTCCTTCCCGGGTTGGCTGCTGATCCCTCCACCTCCATGGAGGGGCGGCTCCCCCTGCCACTTTCCCCACTTCCGCGGGGGAGTGGCACACCGCCGGCCGGCCCTCTCGGGGGCTGCTCAGATGTTATCTGGATGTTCCCGGTGCATGTTGTCTCTCTCCTCCTTTATAGTCCTCTTCCACCAATCCCAACTCTGCTACCCACATGCTGAGCACGCTGCTCTCCTCCAATCAGGAGCAAGATCAGCTCCTGCAATTCATCAGTCAAGCTGGCGAGAGGCAGCTGCGTAGAAGTTGTTTACTCCCTTTCAGCGCCATATTGTGGGAGAGCAGATGCATAGAATAAGTCTTAATTCCAGTAACTTAGTCTAGTCCGAGTTGCTCCCCACAGAGACAAAAATAGAAGCCAGGTTTGAATTTGTTCTTATGATTGAAATATCTTTTTTTTTTTAGATTTATTTATTTATTTATTTGAAAGAGTTGCAGAGAAAGATCATCTACCCACTGGTTCACTCCCCAAATGGCCTCAACAGCCAGGGTTGAGCCAAGCCAAAGCCAGGAGCCTGGAACTCCATCTGAGCCTCCCAAGTGGATGGCAGGGGTACAGGTACTTGGGCTGTCTTCCACTGTATTTCCCAGGCAGGCCGTTAGCAATGAGCTGGATCGGAAGTGGAATAGCCAGGACATGTACAGCACTCATATGGGATTCCAGTAATGAAGATGGCAGTGGAATCACTCTTGCCTCAACGCTGCCCCCTCCCCCACCCTACTCTACTGCCACCTTCTGGTGATTGAAACTTAGATGTCACTAATAAATATTCCAGATACCAGGGCTTCTAAGCAAAAAAAGAATATATCTGATTGGAAATAATATAATTTTTCTTGGCTTGGTTACCCAAGAGCTCTAAAAATTATAGAATGGAGGATGTATGCCAGCCCTACTCTTATTCTTTAGTTCTTTGTCTAAGTTAAAAATTGTTCCTTTGCTGTAGATGCAGTAAAACTAAACATATAGTGCTGTGCACATTACTTGTGAATTCTTATGTCTAGACCAGATGGTTACTTGTATTTTTTCCAGCTTTAAAATTCTCTTTATTCTACTTTAATTCCTTTTTAAAGTTGAGGAAACAGATTGCTTTGTTCAGAGAGAGCCGGAACTAGAACACAAACTAATACTTGCTAGCCGTGGGATATACTAATGGCAGTCAAATAGAAGCATTCATAGAACATTTGCAGATTTTTGCCATCTCCTTGTACTTACTATTTAATACTATTTTAAGTTGATTTACTTCTTTAAATACATATGCTTATTTTTAAGAGGAAAATTTTTGCTACTATATGTGGAAAAATATCACTTCTTTAAATAGAAAGTAGCTATAAATAGGAATCCAAACCAAGAAGAGCAGTTTTGTTACAGTCTAATTTTAAATTAATTTAAATTCTTGTTATTAAATGTATAACTTGCTGGTTTTGGTCAGAAATGCATTGAAGCAGTGTTTTCACGTTTGATGGTGGTACCTTGGTTGTCTAAAAAGAAAAGCAGTTAAAACCTTTGGTCAAGCTTTGGTGTAACTTTTTCCATTGAAATGTTTCTTGAGGGGGAAATGGGAAGGTACATGTCTCTGTACTCAAGTGGGTTTTCATGTACACAGAAGGTCTTGTTATACAGATCCAAGATTGCTATTTGGAAAACTTGAGTAAATTTTTCTAAAAACTCTTCACATTTTTACATTGAAGGTTTTAGTTAGCATAACACCAGTTTCTTTCTCAAAAAAGGGAATTTGCTAAATATGGCTTAAGGTTTTTAAATTTTTGTTTATTTAAGAGGCAGAGAACAGACTGAGAGAGAGTACTCCATTTGCTGGTTCACTCCCCAACTTCCCACAATGGCTGGTACCTGATTGTGGCCAAATCCAGAGGTCTAGGCCAAAGCTGTGGGTTGGGAACTCCCACGTGGGTGGCAAGAACACTCCAGGGCCTGTATTAGCAGGAAGCTTGAGTCAGGAACCAGAGTCAGATATCGAATCCAGGCACTCTGATATGGGATATGAGCAACTTAACCTGTAGTCCAAATGTCTGCCTCCAGTATAGTTTATTTTTACTGAAGTAGTAAGGCCAGGCCGTTATGATGATAAATCTATGTATTGGTTTCTGTAACCTTTTAAGACAAATTTGATTATTAAAATTTCATCAGCAAAAACAAATTTGTGTGGTAAGAAATATTGTTTTGTGGATTTTTATTAATTTTATTTGAAAAGCAGGAAGAGAAGAAGACACAGAGAGATACCTCTCATTTACTGGTTGACTTCTCAGATGCCCACAATAGCTGGGCCAGGTTGAAGCCAAGAATCAAAACTCAGTTCAGATCTCCCATGTAGGTGTCAGAGGTCTAACTACTTGAGCCATCACCTGCTACCTCCTAGTCTGGGCATTAATAGAAAACTAGACTCAAACCCAGGCACTCCAGTATAGGATGCCAGCTTCCCAACAGCATGTCAGCCACTGTGCCAGATACCTACCCCCTTTTTAGTGTATTTGAATGGAAGAAATGTTTTTCTTAAAATAGCTTAGTATAGTATTTTTTCTGGCTTATCAGAAATATTAGTCTTTTGTTTGTATATTTGTGTCACATTTATATTTTAATTGAACTTTTTATTTTTAAATAACTCTTGATTCACAAAAAATTATAAGAAATAATACAGAAAGAAAGTCTGCTTACTCTTTACTCAGTTTCCCCCCTGTGGTAACATCTTGCAGAACTAGTAAAGTAGCACAGCCAATATACTGATAAAGATACAGAACATTTTCATCACCACAGGGGCCCCTCTTACTGTCACTTTGTAGCCATATCCACTTCCTTCCTACACATATTATATGTTATATAAATGGCATTATTCATATCACTTTTTGAGATTAGTTTCTTTTACATAGCATAATTCTCTAGAGATTCGTCCACATTGTTGCATATATCAATAGCTTCTTTTTATTACTGACCAGTCTTCCATTATGTGAGTATACCAGTTTATCACTCACTTAGTTAGAATATCTGGGTTATTTCCAGTTCTGGCTCCCTATTTAGCCTACTCTTACAACCCCAGTGAAGATATTAGACTTCCTCATTAGAGTTCATGAAGTGGAAGTTCAGGCTCTTGTTAATGTGTGTCAGGGATAGGGGCCAGATGAGGCTCAGTATTTTCTGTGTTTGGCGGGATTAAAATTATTACTATCAAAAAAAATTTCTGAGACAGGTGTTTAGCATAGCAGTTAACATGCCAGTTAGGATGCCTGTCCCCTAGCAAAGTGCCTCGGTTGAATACCCTGCTCCAACTCTTGACTCCAGCTTTCTGGTAATGCAGACCCTCGGAGGCAGTGGTGATGGCCTGGTAATTGGGCTCCTTCCACTCATGTGGAAGAACTGAATTGAATTCCTAATTCCTGGCTTTGACGCCAACCCAACTCTGACAACTGGGCATTTGGGGAGCATGCCAGAGGATGAGAACTCTTTGTCTCTCTCTCTTTCACCCTCTCTTTCTCTCCCCTCCTCTCCCATCCTTCCTTTTTCCCTGCCAAATAAATAAATGTAAAAAAAAAATTTTTTTAATCTTCTAAGCTACTCTTTTTCCTTTTGTTAGAGAGAGCAGGCTGTTGTGGCTTTGGGCCAGTTGACATTTCCAGGTTGTTGACTTCTTCACCTCAAAGTCAGGAATCTATTTTGGGAAAAAGAGAGAGAGGGAAAGAGAGACAAAACTCACCACCATGTTTGTTCCTTGGATTCTGAGGTCCCTGTTGGTCTGCCTTCTCTCAACTTTTCACATCTTAGTATGTTTTGTAAATAATATCCAGCTATTAATTGTACTTAACAGAAATAATAAGGAAAAAGTATGTTTACTCCATATTTGGGGCAAATAACCATTGAAGAAATGTCATATGCATTGTATACCAGGTGATACTTTGCATAATGCTGTGCTCTAGAGCACTGCTGGAAAGTGCCATCTTGTATTTAAAGGGAAATTCATTGTTCACATTACCTTTTCCCCTCCAGGAAATAATGCAAAAGGTGTTTCAAAGCTCCTGACCAGTGAACAAAGATTTGAGAAAGACAACCAAGCTCATGTTTTCTCCTGATCAAGAAAATCATCCTTCCAAGGCACCAGTAAAATATGGTGAACTCATTGTCTTAGGGTAAGATTTCTCCATCTGATGAGACATAAAATTGAAAAATGTATATTAACTGGTATCTAAGAAGTGTTTTTAAAAGAATTTATATCTTAACTACATCCAAACAGAATTCAAAGCTATGGGATAATATTATCAAATCAAGAAACTTAATTCTCATATTTATGCTGTCTTTTATAAGTGCTCAAATACTGCATAAATTTTGTCTCACCCTCAGGAAAGGCAAAGTTTCTTAAAAATGAATTGGAAAAACATGTTTGTTGTTGCATAGTTATTCCATTTTAGTTATTCCTTTTAGAAAAATTTGCTTCAGCCAGCTTTATCAAAAATCAATCTCTTTTCCTGTCTCCTGCTTTAGGTCATTCATGTAAGTCAGTATTTATTTGCTCTTTTGCTTCTCTGAGGTATTTGTGGGGTTGTGCTTAGGATCTGGCTGAACAGTACTTCGGGATGAAAGGAGCTGGCCCGGTGTAAGGTGACAGTGGGATGACTACTGCCCAGATAGGACACAACCTCTTGTTTGCCTCATGCACTTAACTCCCAAAAGCATAGTCTGAAGATTAAATAGATGACTCCCTATTTCAACTTATTCAGTCTAAACTAGCCCTAACTGTCCAGAGACACAGCATTTGCCTCTGTTTACTAGAGAGCTCAAGAAATTAGAACTTAAAAATTTAACTTCCTTTTGTTCCTTCTGCCTAAAAAGCAGCTCCAGACATTGTAAGATGTTTGAGAATCAGGTTAGTATATGTTCTGTTTAAGAGAGAATATGTTGTTTCACATGAGAAAGTAAGAGAAACTAGAGAGATAATAAACATGGAGTTACTGAGCTTGGGTGGAAGTCAAAATCCTCAATTATACTAGCCTGTTCTGGCACTGCAGCATGAATGACCTTGGAAGAATACCTTAACCATTCTGGGCCTTAGTTTCCTTCCATGTAAAATGACAGACAAGCTTAGTACCCTTTGAGACCTAACGATTTTTCTGTTAGAAACAGAACTTCTGAGATTGTAAACTTAATGTAGTAACAGCAGTATTATAACTTTGAATCACATAGATTCTAATGATTTTAATGATAAGCAACTTTGAAGTACCATAAACCTTTCCAAGTTAAATTATTCTAGCAGGAAATTTGAGTCATTTGAAGAACAGAGTTTAAAACCTAGTATATGGTTTTAAACCTACTTCTCTTAGCCTAGAAGCTTTTTAGTTAATTATTAGCAGTAATAATTGTCTCTATATGTGTCACTCTATGTGTCTTAAGATGCAAATAATGCTTCTTGCCAACACCTCTCTACAAAAAGTGAAACTAGATGAGGTTGTGCATTTCATGCTGTTGCTACTTAGAGCTTTGGACTATAGGAATGCATGTACTACAGAGAGCATAGGTCCAGAAGAGGAATGAGTAGTGCCATTCGGAGCACAGTGGTGAGGGGCAGTGAGGAACCCACTGTGGGGCTGGTGACCACACACAGCCTGACTAGCAAGCCAATATGTTAGTTAAGGGATGCTACATTGAACTTATAGCAAGGCTAACAAGATTAGCAAGGACTTTCTTCTATTCCCAAGTATAATTTTTTTTATAAAGGGTCAGTTTAATTTTCATATGTAGCAGTCATTGACTCTCTTATAGCTTTAAAATGTGATTCTTCCATGTCAGCCATGTTTGCAGATCATTTTACAATCACTTTGTCTTCCAACCTCAAAACTGTCCCAGTTCTCCACCTCATTTCCCTGTGGACTGACAAACTGTTCATGGGAGACTACAACCCAAAGATGTTGTAAGGAAGTGGGCAGTGGATGAGGACTGTGTGTGCCTCAGTGAAGCAGTAAAGAATGACAAACAGCATGGCAAACATACAAACATATTAAATTCTGACTTTGCCAGTGTCATGTGTGACCTTCAGAAGATGATTCTCTGGACATGTTTCCAAATCTGTAAAAATGGGGACACTGACACCAGTCTTGTTTGTGGAGTTTTTATTTTTTTTAAAGATTTTTTATTTTATTTATATGAGAGGTAGAATTACAGACAGAGAGAGGGAGAGACAGAGAGAAAGGTCTTCCATCTGCTGGTTCACTCCCCAAATGGCTGCAGCAGCCAGAGCTGGGCCCATCCAAAGCCAGGAGCCAGGATCTTCCTCCAGGTCTCCCATGCAGGTGCAGGGGTCCAAGCACTTGGGCCATCTTCCACTGCTTTCCCGGGCCATAGTAGGGAGCTAGATTGGAAGAGCAGCAGTAGGGACTATAACCAGCGCCCATATGGGATGCCAGTGCTGCAGGTGGAGGCTTCACCCACTATACCACAGTGCCAGCCCGTTATGAAATTTTTATGAGGATAGATTGAATGAGGTGATATATAGGTTAGAACCCAGTGGTGCTTGGTTGGTACATAATAAACACTCAGATGTTTTTGTTTGGGTTTGTTTTTAATTTTTCATACTGATTCAGTCCTTGCTTACTTGCTTACTTTCTGGTCAGGCATATGTTATCAGGGAAACAGTAGTTCATAAGGTCTATACCACAAAAGTATATTTAACTATTACTTAGCAGAAATCTCAGTTGGGCAGGTTCTGCCAACAGTGTGTGAAGTGTATATGCAGGTAGCTGAGACTTACAGACGAGTCTAAAAATTCCTTAATTCAAAATCCAGCTATTTAAAGTATTTGGTTCACAATTAAAAGAGATCCTATTTTGAACAATACATACTGTACTTTTGAAGGTTGTATTATCACAAATATTCACCTTAAAAAATGGAGGGAAATGGAATGAGTTATAAGGAATCAGATATGCCATTATTTGGCTTTTAATTCTCTTCAATAAAAGAGGGGGTAAATGCAAATATAGATAACTCAAAGGTATGTGTCATCCAAAAGGTACTTCTCTGTAACCTGGAATGTGGCCAGAAAGAATCTGATTTTGTTCCACATCAAAGCAGCTGGTCCGGAGATCAACAATTACTAAAAAAACTAAGATAACTATTGTTCTAATAGATAATTAATTGGGAATTGGTTTTGCAAGACAGAGTAAAACCTTTGTTTTATAATTGTTTGATTTTTTTACAAGAGATCACTTAAACTTTGTTTTTCTTCCATCAGGTATAATGGGTCTCTCCCAAATGGCGATAGAGGAAGGAGGAAAAGTAGGTTTGCTTTGTTTAAAAGACCTAAGGCAAATGGGGTGAAGCCCAGCACTGTGCATATTGCATGTACTCCTCAGGCTGCAAAGGTAAAAAAAAAAGTCACTAAATAATTAACTTTGAAAAACTAAAAAACCTTTGTATGTTGTTTATATTCTCTTGTATTCGCTCACATTTTTGTTTCAAACATTTCCTTTTGTTTGGATTGGAGAAGAGACTTGGGAGACATGGTACTTGGAGGCCACCATATGGAAGGGGAATCTGACTTTTTTTTAAATTCTGGCAAACCAGAATTAGTGGGTGGAGATTGTTAAAAGAGGTGGGGTAGGGCCAGGGCTTGATATAGTAGTATTTAGAATTGTGCAGTTGTGTACCCTGCAAAACAGGGAGTTCCCACTTCTATACAAGAGGGGTCACGCCTGGTTGAGGAATGAGGTGTATATTATGTATATTTAGGTTTCAGAAGCATGTTTGAATGAAGTAGTTTTTTAACTAAGGATTTTTATCTATGTCTCTCTGGATGTTCTTGTTTTTATTTTGAAGTTGTTTTATGACACTGCCCTAGCTTTTAGCATGGTGCCTTGTCAAAGACCTCACTAATGTTAGATTGAATCAAAGCTATGAAAACAACTACTCAACTGCATCTAAACTGTAATTTCTCAACTCCTGGCTTTACTTAGTGCTTTTAGCCCCCTTTTTCCCCCCTACCAAATCTCCAGAATCAGCATCATCATTTGGCTTTTCCTAAAGTGATAGAAAAGTAGGGAGGATTTTAGATATTTACATTTCTTGTGAATTCCTTTCCTTACAATTTTATAACACAGACTGAATTTGATACTGTGGTGAACAAATAAGAAAAATTACCAAGAATTCTTTGACTTTTGGAAGTAACTTTAGTTAAGTAACTCTAGGATATACATTAGTATCATACCATCTGAGGTCTATCTTGGTTAAGTTAAATAAACCAAAGACAGTAGAATCAGCATTATGTTGCTCTGTTTTAGGTCACAGCTCCAATCCCTGAAGTTTAGTTGGATTTTTGATCTTGTTTTTTGCTTTTTGTTTCTTTTTAAAGTTTATTAGAGAGGGAGACAGAGCTCTCTGGAGGTTCACAGGTTCACTCCCCAAATGCGAACAATGGCCAGGGCTACCCCAGTGCCCAAGTCCACAGCCAGTAACAGCCTCCAGGAGGAACCCAATTATTTGAAACATTACCACTGCCTTCCAGGATCAGAAGTCAGAAGCCAGAGCTAGATATTGAACCTGGACACTGATGTGAGACACAGGCGTCTTAACAAGTAGTCTAAATTCCTGCCGTAACATTGTGTATATCCAGTTAATGTGTATAACAGAGTCTTTAAGCCTTGAGTCCTTAAGTCCTTAAATCCACTATTACTATTTGGGAGCTAGTGTGTGTAGAAAAGGGACTGTTTGATTTTGCTTCTTTGCAGAGATAGGATTTTATATTAAGTAGGCAGTGGAAGTAAATGCCTTATTGATCCAATTGAGGAGCTTCTTAGAGTACTTCCCTACAAGAGTGCTCTTGGCATTTTGGGTCTACCAATTCTTCATTGTGATGGCCAAAACATGCTTTTACATATTTTCAGATTCCCCTTGGACAACTAGTAACTTCTTCTGGTTGAGAACCGTTGTTGGGGAACATATTTATATTCCATACCTCTGTAATAGTCTTTTCTGGATTTTTCTTCCTATTTTTACACTGTCATACCTGTCATGTTTTCATTGTTACCTCCTTTTCATTCTTACTTGGCAAAAGAATCTTGAAGATCAAAGACTGATTACTTCCTCTAAATTTTCACAGAATATATTAAGTTCATGAGGAGGATAAATGTTTAGTCTGGAAGTCATCTGGAGTGAGTGATTAAAACTGCCTTCCAATCCAGTGAGACTCAGATTTAACTTGACATAGTTCTTATTCCCAGTCTAAGAGTGGGTTTGGGGCTGGTGTTGTGGTTTAATGGGTAAAACCAGCGCCTGGGACGCCAGCATCCTGTATGGGTGCCAGTTTGTGTCCTTGCTGCTCCACTTTCAGTCCAGCTCCCTGCTAATGTACCTGGGGAAGCAGCTCAAGTTTTTGGGTTGCTGTACTCAAAATGGGAGACCTGGAAGAAGCGCCTGGCTCCTGGCTCCAGTCTGACTGAACCCTGGCTGTTGTGGCCATTTGGAGAGTGAACCAGCAGATGAAAGACCTTTCTCTTTGTCTCTCTGTCTATCTGCCTTTGAAATAAATAAATTGTTAAAAAAAAAGACAAAAATTATAATCTTAAGGCACATAAAGCTAGTGTTTTTAAATCTTTCAAGCTGTTAAGAATTCAAGCAATTTTTGGTTGAAAGCCGGTTGCTTAATGGTGAGTTTAATTTAGGTTTTAAAACCTGTGAAATTAGTATGTAATGTTTATGAATACATAAATGTGCACTAAAAAGTATTAGCAGTATGCATGTAAATGATCTGTATTGGAGAATGGGCAGATAGGTAGGAATACATAGGCAAATACAGTTGCAAATACAGTTTAATTTCTTGAAAAAAATCAAAATTAAAAGTGATATTTGTTAAGCTTTGATAAAACTGGATAGTTAATATCCAGGTACTTGTTTATTCTGTTTATATACTTCAAAATTTGATGGTTTTAATTAAAGTTATTGTTTTAAAGCTTTAAATTCTTACAGTTTAGCTACAAATGATAAACTTCTAATTAAAGAACATTTTATAGTTTAGCTTCTTTGCTGTGTGTAATCACTCTCCGTTTCTTTATGTCTGTTTTCCTCTCATGCAGCCGTTTCCACATCCTTTGTACATGACTAGGTTTTTCCTCCCTTTGATATTTTCTCCAATTCATGTACATACAACACTCCTGAAAACAAAACTGAAAAGTTCTTTTTAGCAACGTTTTTAGTTTGAGATAAGTCAAATACGTGCATGAGTGTTACATCTCTTTCCTTTGGTAATTTTAATCATTCTATGAATTTTTTTGCATCTGTAGAGTCACAAAATGGATAGACAGCCAGTTAAGTCAGCTTACTGGTTAACTTTTTAACTCTGAGTGACTTTAAAAATAAGATTCTTGGGTTGGACATTTAACCTAGTGGTTAAGAAACAAATCCCATGTCACAGTACCAGTGGTCGGTACCCAGCTTTGGCTTTTGATTCTAGCTTCCTGTTACTGTAGACCCCTAGAGAAGGGGATGATGGTTCAAATACTTGAGTTTTTGCCACCTATGTAGATGATCTATGTTGAGTTCCCCATTCCTGGCATCAACCTAGTCCAGCGCCAGGCATTTGGTGAGTGAGCCAACAGATAGGAATCTGTCTCTCTACCTCTCAAATAAAAATTTTAAGTGAAAAATTTTTAATGAAAATAAAATTCTTTTGGGGCCAGCGCTGTGGTGCAGCGGGTTAACACCCTGGCCTGGAGCAACGGTATCCCATATGGGCACCCGTTCGAGACCCAACTGCTCCACTTCTGATCCAGCTCTCTACTATGCCCTGGAAAAGTAGTAGAAGATGGCCCAAATCCGTGGGCCTTTGCACCTGCATGGGATACCCGGAAGAAGCTCCTGGCTCCTGGCTTTGGATCAGTGCAGCTCCAGCCGTTGCAGCCAATTGGGGATGGATGGTTCTCCTCTCTCTCTTTTTCTTCTCTTTCTTTCTCGCTCTCTTTCTCTCTGCCTCTCCTCTCTCTGTGTAACTCTGACTTTCAAATAAATAAATAAATCCTTAAAAAAAAAAGATTCTTTCAAGATTCTGTATTTTCTCATCAGATTAGTACTGAGTATTGTTTTCACTTTCTACAAGGGGTTTTTTCTTAAATATTTATTTATATATTTGAAGGTCATAATTATAGAGAGAGGGGTCTTCTGTCCACTGGTTTCTCTCACCAAGTGGCCAGGGTGAAGCCAGGCCAAAGCTAGGGGCTTCTTCCAGATCTCTTACGTGGGTGTCAGAGGACCAAGCACTTGGGCCATCTTCCACTGCTTTTCCCAGGCCATTAGCAGGGAGCTGGTTTGGAAGTGGGGCAGCCAGGACACAAACCAGTGCCCATATGAAATGCTGGTTGTCTCAAGGGGCAGTACACACTACACCACTGCACCACAACCCTGTCCCAGAATTTGGTTTTGATTTCTTTAAAATTTAAAATAATTGTAGGAGAGACCCAGATTGTATAAGTTTTTGATTTTATTTAAAAGTATGTTCTTACCTGAGAAGTCACTGTCACAGCTAAGGCTTTTCAATAGTTATTAACCTCTCTCAAGTTTCAGGGGGTAAATGCATAAATGTGTCATATATGTGATTTACTTTTTGTACTGATTTGATTGACCTGCCTACTAATTTTTGTTACTAACGTTTTTCTCCTAGGCAATAAGCAACAAGGACCAGCACAGTATATCCTATACTTTATCTCGGGCCCAGACAGTGGTGGTTGAATATACTCATGACAGCAACACTGATATGTTTCAGGTATTACAACATTTTCAACTTTTTTTTCTTAAAAAACAGAACAGTTAAAAGTCTATTGTCTGTAACTTTTCCTATGATCAGATTAAGGATCATCATAGCTTAATAATGTATTTCATATATATGACGGGTCTTCAGAAAGTTCATGGAAAATGTATAAAAAAGCAATGCACTGATTTCAGGTTTTTTTTGCATCAAAATAAACTTTACCTTTTAATTTCATTTTTCATGAGCTTTTTAAAGTCCTTCAGGCATATTGAAAACCTCATATGTTGAATTCAGCATAACAGTAAGAGTCAAGCGTTGGGATTAGAATTTCTGGTATACGTTACTTGGCTGCTCTGTGTCTATTTCCTCCTCTATAAAGTGCTGGTAATAGAAACTCCCTCCCAGGTGTTAGGAATAAATAAGTTTGTGTGTTACATACTCAGAGCTGGGCCAGGTACCTGGAAAGCTCTTGGCAAATGTTAGCTATTATTATCAGAAAAAAAAAAAAAAGAGAGAGAGAAAAGTAATCAAGAACTATTCTGCACACATAAGTGACCTCTTGACCACTACCTCCCACCTTCCTGTACAGGCAACAAAAAGTACAGGCAGCTTTGATTTCTCCCTCCACCCCATCCCTTGTAGCAATCCAGTGCTGATTTTTTTTTTAAACTTATAAACAAATTTCTTTATATCTTCTCGCTTAACATTGAGTATTCTAACACCTTGGGCTTTTTAAAAACAAATGTAAGTGGGACATAGTTGCCTGACATTGTTGCTCTTAAAACTAGCACCCAATGACACTTCCTTTTTTTTTTTTTTTTTCCACAAATTTAAATAAAGGTAAAATGGCCTGGAGATATATTCATTTTATTTATTTGCTTTTTAAGGATTTCTTTGTTTTATTTATTTATTTATTTATTTATTTATTTATTTATTTTGACAGGCAGAGTTAGACAGTGAGAGAGAGGGAGAGACAGAGAGAGAGTTATAGACAATGAGAGAGACAGAGAGAGAAAGGTCTTTCTTCTGTTGGTTCACTCCCCTAATGGCCACCACGGCCGGCGCTGCGCTAATCCGAAGCCAGGAGCCGAGTGCTTCCTCCCGGTCTCCCATGTGGGTACAGGAACCCAAGCACTTGGGCCATCCTCCACTGCCCTCCCGGGCCACAGCAAAGAGCTGGACTGGAAGAGAAGCAACTGGGACTTGTACCCGGTGCCCCAACCAGGACTAGAACCTGGGGTGCCGGGGCCGCAGGCAGAGGATTAGCCAAGTGAGCCACGGCGCCAGCCAGGATTTATTTCTTTGAAACAGTTACAGAAAGTTCTTCTGTCTACTGGTTGACTTCCACAGTGGCTGTGACAGCCAGAGCTGAACCAAGCCAAATCCAGGAGCCAGGAGCTTCGTCCCAGTCTCTCTTATGGGTGGCTTGGAGCCCTAGTGCCTGAGCCATATTCTGCTGCTTTTCTTGAGCCGTTAACAGGGAGCTAGATTGAAAGTGGAGCAGCCAGGACTCAAATCGGTGCCCATATGGGATGCTGGCATCATGGGTGGTGACTTTACCTGCTATGCCTTGACACTAGCCCCTGTATATTTAATTTTAATCAGTAGCAAAATATCTCTTTGAAGTCTTCCTTCCCCAACCCTTTCAGTGCTATACTGAATTTCTTGTAGAATACTGTCTCTACAGTTATTAAAATATGAGTATTTGTTTATATCATCCCTACTTTTACCAAAAACTTGGTCCTAGCTGTTCTACTTCCAATCCAGCTCCCTGCTAGTGGCCTGGGAAAAGCAGTGGAAAATGGCCCAAGTGCCTGGGCCCCTGCTGTGCATGTGGGAGACCTGGGAGAAGCTTCAGCCTGGCCCAGTGCTGGCTGTTAACAGCCGTATGGGGAGTGAACCAGTGGATGGAAGTTCTTTCTCTCTCTGTAACTCTGCCTTTTAAAATAATTAAAAAAAAAAAAAAAATTAACTAAATAAAGCTAGCAGTAGCAATTAGAAAGAGAAAGACTTAACTGGTGCCGGCCGCTGTGGTGCAGCAGGTTAATGCCCTAGCCTGAAACTCCAGCATCCCATGTGGGCACCGGCTTGAGACCTGGCTGCTCCTCTTCCTATCCAGCTCTCTGCTATGGCCTGGGAAAGCAGTAGAAGATGGCCCAAATCCTGGGCCCCTGCACCCGCATGAAGGCTCCTGGCTCCTGGCTTCGCATCGGCGCAGCTCCAGCCATTGCAGCCAATTGGAGAGTGAACCACTGGATGGAAGACCCTTCTCTCTCTGCCTCTCCTCTCTCTGTGTAACTCTGACTTTCAAATAAATAAATACAATCTTTTTTTTAAAAAAAAAAAGACTTAACTAAAGTCTTTCTTAACATCTAGTCATTTTGGTATCTGATCTCACTCATGTAAGTGTTTTTCTTTTTATAGATATTTCTTATATAAGATTTCTTCCTTCTGTCTTGTCAATATAAGTAATGCTTTGATATCTTAAATCTTCTGCAAGACCCAGATCAAATGGCAACTCTCTGGAACAACCTCTCTTCCCAAATAAGTGCTGCTTCTGCTTGATTCTGAATATTAATCCTCAGTCCAGACCTTGGCCTACATCTTTTTATTTTGGAGAATATTTTTAGTTTCAAAGGCCTAAGGCCATTTTATGTGGATATCATTTTCCTAAAAATAAAAGTGACATCCACCCTCACTTTTTTTTTTTTTTTTTTTTTTTGACAGGTAGAGTTAGAGAGAGAGAGAGAAAGGTCTTCCTTCCGTTGGGTCACTCCCCAAATGGCCACTATGGCCGGCGCTGCGCCAATCCGAAGCCAGGAGCCAGGTGCTTCCTCCCAGTCTCCCATGTGGGTGCAGGGCCCAAGCACTTGGGCCATCCTTCACTGCCTTCCCAGGCCACAGCACAGAGCTGGACTGGAAGAAGAGCAAACGTGACAGAATCTGGCACCCCAACCAGACTAGAACCCGGGGTACCGATGCCACAGGTGGAAGATTAGCCAAGTGAGCTGCAAGCCCGCCCACCCTCACATTTATTAACCATTTGTATCCCAAAACTATCCAACCAAAGTTTAAAGACTTTATAATTGATGATCGGCCAGAAAGATGAAAGTGTTTTATCTGAAAGTATTCTTGTGAATCTGAGCTTGCAAAGGTTGACTTTCAAGAGTCATCATCTCTCTAAAGGGTCATTCTTTTTTTCTCAGTACCCACATTTTTCAATTTGATGATATAACTTTATAGCAAATATATATCAATTTGATGATATAGCTTTATAATAAATACGTTAATGAACCAGCAATTTCTAAATGTTTATAATACCCTGAGCAGTTGTCAACTTTTGTTGTCTCTTCTAGTGATTTCCTTTTTTTAACTTACAAAATGAAATTTATTTACTAATGACTACCTCTGAAGATTTTTTTTTAAGATTTACTTATTTATTTATTTGAAAGTCAGAGTTATACACACACGCACACACACACAGAAAGAGATATCTTCCACCTGCTGGTTCAGTCCCCAAATGGCTGCAATGACCAGGGTTGGGTCAGGCTGAAGCCAGGAGCCAGGAGCTTCTTCCAGGTGTCCTACATGGGTGCAGGGGCCAAGCACTTCAGTTATCTTCCCAGGCACATTAGCAGGGAGCTGGATTGGAAGTGGAATGGCTGGGACTCAAACCAGTGCCCATATGGGATACCAGCACTTAAGACAGTGGCTTAACTTGCTTTGCCACAGCACCAGCCCGCATCTCACACTCTTATCTGAGAACACTGTCTCGCTGAAAAATGGCCAAGAACTGGTAAAAAAAAATTTAAAACATCTAGGGATAAGGTAAATGCCACAAAGTTCACACACTGAAATTCCTTTTCTGTACTCCCTGGAGAATCCCTTAGGTTCTCACAGAAACCTTTTGAAATACTATTCTCTGAAATGTGCTGATTTCACTTCTCAACCCATGGCAGATGAAGAGTAGCTGGTTGGAGAAGAGATTTGTTGCTGGAAATAAGGATGACCAAAAGCTAGAAATGCTAGCTGACAATCTATCAAAAGAGAAATGAGACAGTCTATGATGTCTGCGTACAACCTCAAAACAAGGTTACGCAAACCCTTAATGTAAGGATCTGTGATCTTGTACACCCTTTATAGCACATGAAGATATCACTGCATTTCAGCTTATTATGCATGGTAGTTATAATGTGCTGGAGAACCTTAAAAAACTTGGCTTACATGTTCACTAGATTCTGTTAAAGAAAGTAGAATAGCACATGGTAGACATGTTTTCATATGAAAGAGTTAGTCTACAGCTATCCAGAAGTCTCAGCCACACTGAATACTTCATGCCCTGGGGGTTTCATATATTCTGTTATAAATCCCCACTTTATTCTGTGCTCTAAGTGATTACTACATCAGAGACTTTGACAAATTAGTTTTCAAGATTAATTTGGATGCCCCAAAAGTTAAGTATGGTAAGTTTGAGCTTTAGAAATTTCAAAAGTTTAATGTTTTCACCTTATGGTGCCTTTCTTGAATGAATTTTCCACTGAGTTCTTTGAATAGATTTATAGATGTTTCTTTTTTCCTTAGATTGGTCGATCTACTGAAAGTCCCATTGATTTTGTGGTAACTGACACAGTTCCTGGAAGTCAGAGTAATTCTGATACACAGTCAGTACAAAGCACTATATCAAGATTTGCCTGTAGGATCATATGTGAACGGAATCCCCCTTTTACGGCACGGATTTATGCTGCAGGATTTGATTCATCAAAAAACATCTTTCTTGGGGTAAAAAGCTTCTTTCCTAAATGATGCATTCTTTTATACACATTTCTATTTTCAAATTACAAATGAATGGAAGCTCACTACTTGTTTCTCTAGGAGAAGGCTGCCAAATGGAAGACATCAGATGGGCAGATGGATGGCTTGACCACTAATGGCGTTCTTGTGATGCATCCACGCAATGGATTCACAGAAGACTCCAAGCCTGGAATATGGAGAGAAATATCAGTATGTGGAAATGTGTTTAGCCTGCGTGAAACCAGATCAGCTCAGCAGAGAGGAAAAATGGTACATACTGAATTATAGCTTCTTATTGGCTACATTAAACACCTAGGTTAAGTTGGACTGAATGTATTATATATATTCTGAAAACTCTTAAATCTACGAGGACGCTTCCAAAAGTTCATAGAAAAGTAGAATTAAAAGATAAGTTTATATTGGGGGCTGGCACTGTGGTGTGGTAAGCTAAGCCTCTGCCTGCAGCACCAGCATCCCATATGGGTGCAGGTTCGTGTCCTGGCTGCTCTTCTTCTGATCCAGCTCTCTGCTTCTGGCCTGGGAAAGCAGTGGAAGATGGCCCAAGTGCTTGGGCCCCTGTACCCACGTTGGAGACCTGGAGGAAACTCCTGGCTCCTGGCTTCAGTTGGGCTCAGCTCTGACCTTTGCGCCCATTTGGGGAGTGAACCAGTGGACGTGAACCAGAGGAAGACCTTTCTCTCTGTCTTTCCCTCCCTCTCTCTCTCTCTCTCTCTCTAACTCTGCCTCTCAAATAAATAAAACCTTAAAAAAAAAAAAAGATAAATTTATTTTGTTAGAAAAACTTTTAAAACCCATGCATACAAGGGGTCTTCAAGAAGTTCATGGTAAAGAAGTATTATGGAAAAACTATGCATTCCAAAATTTTTTAGCACCAAAATAAATTTTTTCTTTTAGTTCTATTTTCCGTGAACCTTTGAAGTACCCTCATGTTTCTGACACAGAGCACCAAGTCTGTCAAACACTGACGACCAAATACTTTACTAGGGGATAATACCGTAATGTCTCACTTAGGAAACTCTACTAAAGTTTATTCTATCATACAATATGATGACATTTTTAAAACCTAAGCTTTCCTAAACTGAACAGCTCTCTGACCGTTCTACTTCTGTTTATATATTTTTGACCATATTTACCTAATTAAAAATATTGGACTTACTGATTAACCGGATATTTTAATCATAAATTGTCTTTATTCCAAAGCTAAAAAGAAATACATTATTGTTCAATTTTACAACTTATTTTCAAATCTACATTTTTAATGATTGCCATCAGCATTCCTTGAATAGTCAGTGATGATCCTACAAAATCTCCTTTCCTGAAAAAGGAGTGCTAAGACCAAAACTTTTACATAAAAATCTAAAATGAAGTTAATTTATTAATTATAAATTACAAATTGTGTTTTAATTACATATAAAGATTGTGTTTTATTAATTATAAATTACAAACTGTATTTTTTAATTTCTTGTCTCCCCCAGGTGGAAGTTGAAACCAATCAGTTACAAGATGGCTCCTTAATTGACCTCTGTGGGGCAACGTTGCTGTGGCGCACTGCAGAGGGCCTTTCCCACACTCCTACAGTGAAGCATTTAGAAGCTTTAAGGCAGGAAATCAATGCAGCACGACCTCAGTGCCCTGTAGGGTTCAACACACTAGCATTTCCTAGTATGAAGAGAAAAGATGTGGTGGATGAAAAGCAACCATGGGTGTATCTAAACTGCGGCCATGTGCATGGCTATCATAACTGGGGAAACAAAGAAGAACGTGACGGAAAAGATCGTGAATGTCCTATGTGTAGGTCTGTTGGTCCCTATGTCCCTCTGTGGCTTGGATGTGAAGCTGGATTTTATGTGGACGCCGGCCCTCCAACCCATGCGTTTAGCCCATGTGGGCATGTATGTTCAGAAAAGACAACTGCCTATTGGTCCCAGATCCCGCTTCCTCATGGTACTCACACTTTTCATGCAGCCTGTCCTTTTTGCGCACATCAGTTGGCTGGTGAACAAGGCTACATCAGACTTATTTTCCAAGGACCTCTAGACTAACAGCCAGTTGTCCTCCAGGACTATATTATAAATTTATAAGCTAAGTGAGTTGGGTTTTCCAACCTGTTGTCCATGTCAGTTTCTCTGCTCTGGTCATTTGCATTAAGATGAAGAATTTTTTAAAACATTTATAATAGTAGCAATTTTGAGCAAAAATCTGGGAAACTCAGCAAAGGAATTTTTGAAAGTACCAGACTTCTGAATCCTGAGTTTTGAAAATATATTTTGAGGAGAAAAAGACATAGTCTAACTTGATGCCTTTGTTAGTGTTTTTGAATCACCCATCCTCAGTGTTGAAAGTTGTTTTGTATAACTGAGGGTACTGTTGGTTCAAACTATGTTAGTTTACAGTTTGTTGCAAACATTGTAAAATACAGCAACATGTATATTAACTTTTTTATATTTATCTTTATTATAGAAAATGTCTTAGAATGTTCTTGATAGAGTAGCATGGTAATGATGGTGTCACACCTTTGGTGTGAATGGTAGCTTAGTGAGCACGTAGCTGAAGGATTTGCAGAGTTAGGAAGAAGGACAAGAGAACCTCTCTCCCCATCCCCATCTAAATATGAAATTTGGTAAATTAGAATACTTTGTAAAACCAGATTCATATTAATCACCATTGTGTAAGAGATGTTTGTTTTTAACCACATTGAAGATAATCAGGAAAGATTTTTTTTCCTTAATGTTTCTCTCAAGTGTAGTACTATAACAGAAACTTAATGCTAAGAAACATTTTATATGCTCCTTTGAATATGCAATTTAATCTAGATTATCTATTTTTCTCCCACAATAACTAATCCGTTTTTAGTATCAGCAACATTTGGCAAGTTTATTTTTTGGATATAAACTGTGGTTCATCTGTTCACTGTTTCTAGAAAAAATCACTCCCTTGAGAAAAAGCATAAATTAACAAGATAGAAGAGTGACTTGATTTGCGTTTAGAAAAAGAAATGCTCAATTAATTAATTATTCTGTATTTGGCCTTATCTAGGGATTAGAAATTCTAGCGATACAAAGGGTTGGATGACAATAGTGCCCCTGTTTTTTTTTTTTTTTTAACCTAGCAGACCAGCCTTAACTGTAGGCTTGAATCCTAAGGAGAGCTGCCACAGTGTGACTCAAGGGACTCTGGTTGGCACATGAGCACCAGTGGCATCAGAATGGAGGGACACACTTGCATGGTCTGTTTAGGCTCTAATTACAGTAAGTTCTTTGCTTTCAGAAGCAAGAGAAAGAATCTTTCCCCTGCCTCTCCTGCCCCCCTTTTTTTTAAATGTACCACAAGAAAAGTAGACAGTTGCACTACATCAGATTCTTTTTTGACACTTGTAGAAATCAATATACTTTTAGAGTCATTTTTTTTAATCTTTTAATTTGTTTTCCTTTAGTTTTAAAAGTTGTATAATACTTAATTGACTGTAGCAAATTTTTGTATGTGGTAGCAACAGCTTTAATTTATCCTGTTACAACACTGTTCTGAATTTTCTTTTGGTTTAAAAAACAAAACAAAACTTGTTGTTAGAAGCCATGAACTATTTTATTTTACTTCAACTGTTAAATTTTCCTTGTTTTTAAAAATGATCATTGGGTTCACTCAGGAAATGCATGTCAGGAAACTTGTATTATAAGTTTATTAGTTGTGATGTATCAATAACTGCTGTTACCCCCTTTTCCAAGAAGTATAATTGATTTTGAAGTTATCTAGGTGGTCACATGCTTTGTGACTAGTGCCAGGAAATCAAGTCCTGTGTTGTATTTGTTCTAGTCTTTTCTGTTCAGGCTATATATTGTAGCTTAATTTTTATTTGCAATTAATTTATTCAAACTAAGTAAATACTTTTCAAAATAGACATTTGAATTTGTCTCTGAGTTCATTTTTGCATAACTGAGAATAGGCAACCAGAAGTGAAGACCTGACAGACCACCCTGCACTCCAGAAGTGCTGTTCTGAAGAAGCTGAGGGGCTTGAATTTAATGTCATGCTTTAAAGTCCGTGGTTCCCTTTGGAAAGCATCTCTTACTTATTAATAAAGAAACGTGTTGGTGGTTCAATAATTGAAGACTTTTCTAAGTTCAGTCCTGCGAGAGAACTAGGTCTTTGCAAGTTGCGTATGAGGCTATTTAAGTAGTGCCTTGGTGACCATAAAAATTTAATTTTCTTCCCAAAGTGCCTAAATTTCCTCTGAGCAGCCAGGAAAAACCTGGTTCATTTTCTATCAAATTCAAGTTTTTGAAAACTTGGGCAGTTTAAATCATTAGGTAATTTCTCTTCAAGCATTTTGGATATTCTGTCATTTTGCCAGTGCCTAGAAGAACACTTTTGTAACTCAGTTGTGTTAAGAGAATGTCAGTATTCTGGCTAAGCAGGAGAAAAAGTTGTATTTTGGTTTCTTAAATGTGCCTTCAAGAAAGATAATCCATACAGCTTAACTCTTTTCTCAAGGTAGAGTTCATATTTAAATGTTATTTAATTTGTCCAGAGAATTTGATTTCCTTCATCTAAAATGTTATGGTCATGAAGTAAAACGTGAAGGGCAGAGATTGAGAACTAGGAGTCTTTTACCGTTGTGTCCTCTGGAAGCTGTAATTCCTTACTTCACAAATTTAACAGTCTTGTAGTAAAGCAGGGCTGGAATAAATAACAATAAAGTAAATATATAATTACTTCTAACATTTAAGTACTGCCACTCCACTTTTCCCTTTGGACATCTCATGAGCCGTGAGCCCTCTGGTGCAGACTGAGGGAGGGTACCAGTGAAAATCCATCCACTAATTGAGAGTTTTAAGATGGACTTGATTCTGACTGTGAAGTCCCTCATCCAGTGCATCATCCTGTGCTATCGCCCACTTTAGCCACTTCTGGTTAGTAGATCTCAGCATTCATTTCTGTTCATGCTGTAATCACTGATCTAATAGCTAATTAATTCTATATAACTGGGCTACTTTCAGAATTAGTTTTTTATAATTATAAGTAGGCTTTAATGCCTTGGTATCAAGTTTTACCTACTCATTTATATTAAGGTTTGTTTGTTTATTTTATTTTATTTATTGGAAAGGCGAAGAGATAAGAGAGATGCTCCATCTAGGTTTTGGCAGGCTGAAGCCAAGAGTCCAGAACTCCAGCCTCTGTTGCCTTCCCAGGTGCATTAGCAGGGAGCTGAATCAAGCAGAGCAGCCAGGACTTGAACCAGCAGGTAGCAAATGAGAGGCTTAACCTGTTGCTGGCCCCGTGCCTAATCAATTCTTAGAACAGATATTGAATACCCACTATGCAGCATACCTTTTTCTAAATGGAGGGATGATGTAGCAATGGGAGAAAAAAAAAAATCCCTGCTTTGTAGGGTTTGTATTCTACTAGGGAAAACAGAAATGAGGAAGACAAAGTTAAAAAAAAAAGATAATGAGCAATACTGAAGGGGCAGGTAAAGCAGAAAAGAGAGATACAAAAATGTAATGTGTTGGGAATAGGTAATGTTCGCAGTGTCAAATAGGAGGGCTGGGGCAGATCCACTGGGAAGTGGTATTGGAGTGAAGATCTGAAGGAGCCACAGGGGACTAAGTGCAGTTAGGCAGAGGAAACAGCTGTTGCAAGGACCCTGAAATAAAAAATTTCCTGGATATTTCTGAAATGGCAAGAAGGCCAGTGTGGCTAAGTGGTATGAAGAGGGGAAGAGTAGTAGGTAAGGTCAAAGAAGTAAAATGACAGAGGTTAAGCAGGGTGGCAGTGCCAGATCATGGAGGCTTTCTGGGAACTGGGTTTTATTCTGAGTGAGATGGGGAGGGGGAGACTAGATGATTCTGAGCAGGAAAGTGGTATGATCTGACTTACATTTTAATAGGATCCTAATAGACTGAAGGCTGGAGCAGGAAGACTATTTCAGCAAATCTGGAGAGAAATGATGGTTGATGGTGACTGGAATCAAATTGTTGCCAGTGGAGAAGGTCTAAAAAGTGATCAGATTCTGGATTTGTTTTTGAAGGCAGAGCTGACAGTATTTACCAGCAGGTGAGATGTGGAATGTGAGAGGAGTCAGTCATGGAAGACTTAGCCTAATGAGCCTCAGCAACTGGAAGGATAGAATTGCCAGTTACTGAATGAGTGCATTGGTGGTAGAAGTGGGGATTTAGTCTTAGACATCAAACCAAAGCTCCTGTTATATATTTGCCAAGCATAGAATTATTCCACTTCTTTTATTTTTAACTTATCAAAATCCTTAACCATGATGGTTAATATTCTCTATACATTCCCCAGTGCTAGCTTAGAAATAAACAGAAGTACTGCTCCATTGATGGTACACTGTCATTCTTTGAAAGTTTGGACACCTCTCATGTTTCTTCCTCTGCTTAGGCTGCCCTCTAAAGAAGTGAAGTGCTATTTTCAGCTGCAGTAACTCCTGTAGTCAAAGCATTTGGATACAGTTTTCCTTCCTCCTCATCCATATGTACCGTTTTGTGGGTACTTGGTTACTGCCTTTTTTTTTTTTTTTTAAGGATTTATTTATTTATTTGAAAGTCAGAGTTACGCAGAGAAAAGAGAGGCAGAGAGAGAGAGGTCTTCCATCCAATGGTTCACTCCCCAATTGGCCACAACGGCCGGAGCTGCGCCGATCCGAAGCCAGGAGCCAGGAGCCTCCTCCAGGTCTCCCACGTGGGTGCAGGGGCCCAAAGACTTGGGCCATCATCTACTGCATTCCCATGCCATAGGAGAGAACTGGATTGGAAGTGGAGCAGCCAGGTATCGAACCAGCACCCATATGGGATGCCGGCGCTTCAGGCCCAGGCATTAACCCACTGCGCCACAGCACTGTCCCCAGTTACTGCCTTTTAGTTTTTTGCATCTTGATATTTTGCTGCTTGAATCTTCTTTGGCAGTGACAGGGTACAAATAATAGTTTGTGTTTAATGTTTTATTAAAAATATTCATGTGCTTAAGGAAAATGGAGAATTTTTATGTTTGTTTTCTAAGTTCAGATTTTATTTTTTTATTTTTATTTTTATTTATTTATTTATTTATTTATTTTTGACAGAGCGGACAGTGAGAGAGACAGACAGAGAAAGGTCTTCCTTTACCATTGGTTCACCCTCCAAAGGCCACTGCGGCCGGCGCGCTGTGGCCGGCGCACCGCGCTGATCCAAAGTCAGGAGCCAGGTGCTTCTCCTGTTCTCCCACGGGGTGCGGGGCCCAAGCACTTAGGCCATCCTCCACTTCACTCCTGGGCCACAGCAGAGAGCTGGACTGGAAGAGGGGCAACCGGGACAGAACCAGCGCCCCAACCGGGACTAGAACCCCGGGTGCCGGTGCCGCAGGCGGAGGATTAGCCTATTGAGCCATGGCACCGGCCTAAGTTCAGATTTTAATATCTAATTTCCCTGAAGGAGGTATACCTGTATTTGGTAATTGTCCTAAAGATTCCTATCCAAACATTGTGTTGGGTGATGCAGTGGAAATGCTAGGTTCTTCAGGTTGGTGTTAGATTGTAAACTCAGCTAATTCTATCAAAGTTAAGCCACAGCATAAAATAAATTCCTCACAGGTAGCATCGAGAGTTGGCTGTTTGCCAAGCACTGTATTGATTGTACCACATTAAGGATATTACTAATATTATTTAAAATTCAAAACAACCCTCATGAGGTAGGAACTGTTATCTCCATTTTACTGTGGCATCCAGCCACAGCAGTGTAACTTTCCTGCAGCTTTTGAATAGGATATGGTTCCCCAACTCACGTGGAAAGATAAATCTAAAAGTCATAAGTAGATAGTACTGTTAGGTAGGAAGTCAGAAATGAGTTTGTGTGTGTGTGACAAAGGCCTAAGGAATGGACATCTAGGTCCAGCATCTGCATCTCAAAGTCATCCCAATAACCTTCCAGATGCAGCCCACTCTCTGCACTTCAAACGCCCTGCCTGGATCCTGATGACCTTCCAGGGGGTCCTGCCCCTTCTACCCAATAACCATCCTTCTCTAAGGCAGGGTGATGCCAGCCAGGCTTCCCCTGTCTGATAACTTCAGGGGGAAAACTCAGAAAGGAATTTTTCGTATTTACATCCAACAAGTCCTTTGTTCGGGAGGAGGAGAAGCAGAGGGGGAGAGAAGGCAAGACCCATCCCCTTAAAAATCCCAGCCTAAATGTGCACTGCGCACTCTCTCTCAGGGCCTTTCTGGAGAGGTGCCCATCTGTTCTTACGGATGTCCCTAAAATGTCCCTACCCTAATAAACCTTTCCACGTTGCTTTCCCCTGCTCTCTGTCTCACGCCTGAATTCTTTCTTGCGCAAAGACAAGAACTCTTTGCTTCTCCAGTAACAATTTGTGTGTGCACAGTCAGCATATTTTGCTGCTTTCCCATTTTAATGTATCATGATCCCCAGCACACAGTAGATGCTCAGAAATGATTTCATAAGTGATCAGAGAAAACTCTGAATCTAAGGTAACAAAACACTCTGAATAGGAATATTAACAAAAATAGTCAAGAGGCGGACCTTTAGCCTAGTAGTTAAGATGCCTGTTGATTTGCTGGCATCCCATATTGGAATGCCTGGGTTCAGTTGGAGTACTCCTAATTCCAGCTTTCTGCCAATGTGAACCCTGGGAGGTAGCAGTGGTGGCTGAAATAAATGTGTTTTCCTTGGCGGAAGACAACACAAGAAGGAAAAAGGTGGAGATACTATAAAAAGTAGGAGGTTGGCAGGTAACTAGAGGGGATTTTGGCAATCAGAGATTAAGAAACCAAAGTCTAGTATAAACTGAAGTGATTACTGACTGACAAATGTGGTCTTAGAAACTCAGCCCCTATAGCTGTCCTAATACCCTTGATTGTCATAAAGGTGAGCTACTGAGGTTCAGTTACAT